TTCCCCGCTTCTTTGTAAAAAAAAAAAAAAAAAAAAAAACAATAAATAAATAAAGGCATTTTCTCATATGCTTGTGTGCGTATTATGCTTGCCTATGACTTTTCAGTGTCTCCTGCTGCTTCTCCACTGTTCTGAGCTGGCCTACTGGCTTTTTCGAGGACACAATTCAACCTATAACACCATGCACCCACTCTCTCTCCCACTCCAGAGCAAAGGTGGAGACTGCTGCATGGGAAAGAAATGAGATTGCTAGGAGTGGGGTGGGGAAGAGCACAGGCTATGGATTCGAGGAAGGGGAGCTTGAAAAGAGACACATGGCCAAACCTGCAGCGCAGGGAGTAGTGAGGTCTGCTGTGGCTCTGGCTTTCTCCCTACTGCCCTGCCGACCGCGCCCCCTCCCCCTTTTTCTTTGGACACAGTCTTCTTCTTTTACCTCACTTGTGTAGATAGAGTTAAATGTTTTTGCTCTGTTTTGTTTTTTGTTTTTAATCATCTTGTAGGGGCCAGCAGGTAGTACGGTGGTTAGATGCTAGACTCCCACATAGCTGACCACAGTTTGAGTCCCTGACCTGGCAACTTGCTTTTTCTCTCTCTGGTGAACATACATGCCTTATAACAAATTGATAAGTTTAAATAATTCTTTTAAAAAGTCTTGTAGGGACCACAGATGGTGTAATGGTTATGTCACTGAACTCCCATGTAGTTGACTGTGGTTCAAGTCCTGGACCCGGGTGGCTTGAAACTCACACCAGGTGCATGTATGTGTGTGCCCAAAATCCCAAGAGGCGAATGTAGAAGAAGGGACTGTGGTGTGGCCATCCCCCCTGGGGAGTGACTTCTCCCTTTCTGTCTCTTTGGTGAGCACAAACACCTTATAGCAAGAATCTCTTTTAAAAAATGCAGATTTCTTTTTATTTCTTCCATAAGTTAGACACAGAGACAGCACCTCCAACAGGGTTTCAATGCCATGACCTATCCAAGGTCATGAATACACGCATGCTTGCCATACTCAGGGAGGATCCCAGACAAACCCAGAATCCTCCCCTATGGGTGAGGCTCACAAAGCATTGCACTTTACCACTGTACCACCCTCCAGCCTCTATGGCTCTTGACAGTGTCTAGAGAGACGCTGTTGGCACTCCAATGACAGGGATGATTTTTTAAAAATTTGCCAGAGGGGAACCAGCAGTTAGTGTAATGGCTATGTCGCTGGACTCCCACGTAGTCGACCGCGGTTCGTGTCCTGGACCCGGTGGCTTAAAACTCACACCAGGCGCGTGTGCGTGCATGCCCAAGATCCTGAGAGGAGAATGGAGGAGAAGGGATTGCGGCGTGGCCATCCCCCCTGGGGGGTGATTTCTCGCTTTCCGTCTCTATGTCTCTCTCTGTCTGTCTGGCGAGCGCACGCGCCCTACAGTGAAAATCTCTCCAAAAAAAAAAAAAAATTGCCAGAGGGCTTGTGCACACACCTGAGAGAGAAAGAAAACCTCCTGTGGGGAATAGCCATGCTGCAAGCTTTTCTCCATTTCTCCCTGCTCTCAGGATTTTGAGCACTCGGACACACAACACCCAGTGTGTTTTTAAGCTGCTGGATTTAGAACCTAAATCACACAGAGTGCCATGTGAAGACCTGCAGCCTCAAACACCATGCCACCAGCGGACCCAATTTTTTAATTTAAGCACCTCTACCATCATTTAGAGAAACTAGAAAACAAAGCCGTAGGGATCTGTTTGCTCTTTTGAGTATAAGGCACATGCCATTGGGTATCTATAAAGAACTTACGCAGAACAGCATGTATGTGGTACATGCCTGCCAAACAAATAAGCTGGCCTCAGCTGTGGGAAAAGAGAATAATCATAATAAACACTTATAGCATCATACAATAAATTAGGAGTGTAAAGGATAACTGGGATGACATGTTTTAGAAGTGTGGGCCTACTAGGGGCAGGCAGATGGTGTGGTGGTTGAGGGTGCCAGACTCCCACATGGCCAACCATGGTTCAAGTCTCAGACCTGGCAGCTCTCTCTCTCTCTTTATCCCCCTCCCCCGGGTCAAATAAAAATAAATAAATAAAGTGTTTTTTTTGTTTTTTGTTTTTAAAGTGTGGGTATGTAAAAGCAGCGGTAGGTGAAGATGTTAAGAATGGGGGTGGGGGGAACCAGCAGTTAGCGTAATGGCTGTGTCACTGGACTCCCACGTAGTCAACCACGGTTCGCGTCCCGGACCCGGTGGCTTAAAACTCATGCTGGGCATGTGTGCGTGCGTGCCCAGGATCCCGAGAGGAGAATGGAGGGGAGGGGACTGTGGTGTGTCCATCCCCCCTGGGGGGTGATTTCTCGCTTTCTGTCTCTACGTCTCTCTCTGTCTGGCGAGCGCACGTGCTCTATAGTGGAAACCTCTCAAAGAAAAGAAAAGAAAAGAAAAGAATGGGAAGTGTTATGGGACCAGCAGGTGACATGGTGGTTAGGGCACTGGACACTCCCACATGGCTGACCAGTGTTCGAGTCCCAGACCTGGTGGCTTGCTTTCTCGGTTTCTCTCTCTCTCTCTCTCTGTGTATCTCTCTATGGTCAAATTAAAATAAGTGAATGAATAAATACAGTTAAATAATTCTATAAAAAAGAAAGAACGAGAAATGTTCTGGGCTGAGGAAATAGCCTAAGCAAAGGTCCAGTTTTTGGCTTCCTAGAAAGATGAAGTGAGAGCAGAGGTAGGTGGACTCTAGCAAGCTAGGAGGAAGTACAGCAGATGAAGTTGGGGAGAGGTTGGGATCAGTCATGCTAGGTTCCCCCCCCCCCAAGTACAGAGGGAAGTTGCCAAAGAATTTTAACTAGAAAATTGATCTTTGACTTAGGTGTTTTGTGTGGTTTTCTTTAGTTGAGGTATTGCCTACATTAAAGCACACAAACTTTAAGCATACTTAAAAATCTCACACATGTGCATCCAGGTCATGGTATGGAATGTTTCCATCATTCAGCTTTTAAAATATTATTTCAAGACAGGTGTCACTATGTTGTCCAGGCTGGCCGCAAACTCTTGATCCTCCTGCCTCAGCATCTGAGTATTTGGAATCATAGATGCATTATAAGCCACTGAGCTTAGCACTGACTTAGTTTTTTTTTAATAATTTTTTTAACTTTACCCATTTGTTTTACTTTGACTAGAGAGGGGCAGAAAGTAAAAAAGAGAGAGTAAAGGAAAGTAAGCTGCCAGGTCTGGGACTTGAACCGCGGTAGGCCATGTGAGAATCTAGCGCCCTTAACCACCATGCCACCTGCTGGCCCCCCCTTTTTTTAAAAGAATTAATCCCTGACTTAGTTTTAAAGGCCACTATTGTTGTTGTGTCAAGAATAGGTCAAAGAGGGGACTGGCAGGTGGCATGGTGGTTAAAGGCACTGGACTCCTACATGGTCGACCAGTGTTCAAGTCCCAGACCTAGTGGCATGCTTTCTCACTTCTCTCTCTCACTCCCTCCCTCCCTCTCCCTCTCTCCCACCTCATAAAAAAAGAAAAAAAAAAAAAAAAAGCAAAAGAAAGATCAAAGAGGCCCAGCCATGGTGATGCAGGCAGCAAGTTTCTGCACAATGCTGGAGACACATAGCAGGCCTGGGATCAGATCCAGGCAAACCCAAATGTGCCAGCTGTGCCTGTGTGTGCCAGTGATCCTGGCTGGCTAGGAGACGATGGGGAGAATCATGGCATGGTGAGGCCCTCTCTCTGTCTATGTCGCCGCCTGTCTCGATAGATAGACAGATAGATAGATAGACAGACAGACAGACAGACAGACAGATAGATGATGGATAGATAGATGATAGATAGGTAGATATAGAAGGATAGATATAGATAGAAGATAGATAGATAGATAGATAGATAGATAGAGATGGATATAGATAGATGAATGGATGGATGGATGGATGATAGACAGACAGAGCTGCCCTGTGGCCTAGCGGTTAGGGGAACCAGATCCCACAGGGCTGACTGCAGTACAAACCCTAGCCCAGCAGCTTGAAAAGCATGCTGAGTGTATGTGCATGCATGCTCCAAATCCTGATAGGGTGGAAAAATGGAGGGAAAGGGATTGTGCTGTGAGTACACTCCATTGGGGCATGGGGATGCTTTCTCTCTCCCCTCTCTCTCTCTCTCTGGCAAGTGCACGGTGCTTTCTCTCTCCCCTCTCTTTCTCTCTCTGGCAAGTGCACGTGCCTTCTAGAAATTTAAAAAAAAAAAAAAAAAAAAAACAACGGGATGGGTGGGAGAGAATGTGGAAATGAGAAGATAATTGAAAAAGTTT